GTTACCTGATGCCGCTCGTCTCTGCAGATGGCAGCAGCCCCTGTGCTCCCTGCTCGTGTGCCTGGGCCTCAACTTCCTGCTGCTGACGCTGGACCAAGGTGGGCGCCGGGATCCCCTCCAGCGGGTGCCGGGCCGCCTCCTGCCCCGTGGCAGCGCCTGGGGCTCAGGGCTCACGGGCTGCTGCTCTTGCAGCTGCCTGGTACTCGGTGCTGGCTGCTGGTGCTGGTGCCGGCCCTGCAGGGCTACCTGCAGGAGACGTGTCGCGCGCGGCCCTCGGAGCCCGAGCTGGTGCGCAGGAGGTTCCACAGCGTCCGCCGCCAGGACCTGCGCACGGTGCAGCTCTCGCGCCAGGAGGCCGTCGCCCAGGTCAAGGGCTTGTGAGTCTCGCGTGCCCGGGCTCTCCTTCCCAGAGCCAGGGTGCCTTTTACACATGTGCTGGGATCTGTGGCAACCTGGGTGCCACAAAGTGCGTGTGCAGGGGCAGCTTGGGGTTCTTTGGGGCTCTTCTTGACTCTGTGTTCTCGCTTGTAGCCTGATCCAGCTGGAGGCCTTCCTGAGTGGGATGTGCTGCAGCTGCGAGGCCATTTACCGTGTTCTCTACTGGGAGAACCCCACTGTCTCCTCCCAGTGAGTAGCTCCAGGCTGGGTGCCCCATGCGGGGTGCCCAGGGTGGCTGGGGGGCAGATTGTCTGTGCGAGGAGCAGGCACAGGAATGGGTGAGGAAGGGGTGTGCTTGGCTGAGGGAGGGGGCAACGCTGTGGGGTGAGGCCGGAGGCTGCCCCATCCTGACCCTGCTGTCCTGCCCCTTCTCAGGTTCTACGGGGCACTGCTGGGCTCTGTCTGCATCCTCTACCTGCTGCCCCTCTGCTGGGTCCTGGCTATCCTCAACAGCACCCTCTTCCTGGGCAATGCCCAGTTCTACCGTGGTAAGAGCCTTCCCCAGAGGAATCCATGGGTCTGCACGGGACGGGGTGGGGAAATGCCCTGTGAAGCCAGGGGTCCTGCTCTTGCCCTCTCCCAGTGCCAGACGTGACTCTGGAGCCCGCACCAGCCAGAGGGCATCACAGTTAGCGAAGGGAGAGGAAGGCCCTGAGCTGCGAGAGGCGCCCGGGCGCCCTCCGCCATGTCTGGCCTGGCTGCCCTTTCCCGGCAGAGCGCTGCCCTCTGCGCTGTGTCTTGGGCCTGGCAGTGCAGCCTGTGCCCAACGCTCACCACTGCTCTCTGTGCCTGCTCCTGTTCTGCCCAGGGCATAAGGGAGAGGCCCTCGCTTGTCTGCTCAGCTGTGCACAGAGTGCCCGATCTTCCACGTCTGAGCTGGGCCGGGTGGGAGATTCCTCCCTCCGCCAAGTGTGGCAGCTGTCTATGTGTGTGCCCGTGGTTGAGGGTGCCGCCTGCCTGAAGTACTGGAGATTGGCTCTAGCAGCCAGCTGCTGTGGGGAGGGACTGGGCAAGGTAAGTGCCAGCCTGCTACAGCCTACAGCCCTGTCCCCTCTTCTCAGTGATACTGGAGCTGAAAGCCTCGATCGAGCAGTGTCTGGGCAACAGACCTCTTGAGAACACTCCAGAACCTGCTGAGCTGCTGCCAGCTGCTGCCCCGCCGGACCGGACCCCCACACCCACCAGCACAGAGGTGACGGGGCAGGATGGGGAGCCGTGGGGTGCGAGGCACAGCCAGACCATAGGGCTGAGCTTGTCCTCTGCCCAAAAGCTCTTTCCAATTGCTTGCTTTGCTGAAAACCTGTTTGTCCTGCCGTGGAGCCCATCGCGTTTTGCCAAGGGGCTGCCCTGCTAAACTGGGGGTCTGGCTTAGTCCTTCTGCCGTGTGTTTGGACTTAGATAGGGAAGAGGGGGGCTTGCCCCTTGTCTGGGTCTGATACCCTGGTACCTACCCTGGGAGTGTGGGCCCTTCTTTGGATGGAGATGAGGATAGAACTAGCTCTGAATCTCTTGCAGGACCTCACCCCTGGCAGCGTGGAGGAGGCTGAGGAGGCAGAGCCAGATGAAGAGTTCAAGGATGCTATTGAGGTTTGAGCCTGCTGGGGTGGGTTGTGCCTCCTGGGTGGCTGAGGTGGAGGGAGCAGAGCCCTGCGGGGAAGGGGCAAGGGAGGTGTCCCGGCCCCTTGGTGGGGGCTGGCAGAGTGAGCTGGTGCTCAGGGAAATGGGTGCAGGGCTGGGTACCTCTGCAGTCTGTCTGCCTCTCTACTGCCTGTCCTCTCTGTCCCATGCTGCGGGAGAAGGAGAACCAGCTGCTGGTCATGGTGAGTACTGCCCTGCCAAGGTGGGCAGGAGAGGCATCTCCTCCCAGCCAGGCCTGGCAGCCTCTGCCTGGCTCGGCCCCTGCTTGTGGCAATGCCAGGTGGAGTATCCTGCTGGACTGGCATGTGCTGCTGGCCCAGCCTGCCCTTCAGTGCCCCAGCCACCTCTCCATGCTCAACTGGCTCTCCTCTCTGCAGGAGGATGATGAAAGCTCTCAGTGTTCCTCAGAGTTTGACCTCAGCCTCCCAGACAATGGTTTTATGAGCAAAAACGAGGTGATTCGCAGCAAGGTGTCGCGGCTGACCGAGCGCCTGCGCAAGCGCTACCCCAGCAACAACTTTGGTAAGGCTGGAGGTGGCTGCTGCTTCGGGGGGCTGAGCAGAGCGGGGTCTCTGCTGCCCGTGGTGGGGATCCAGTGACCTGGGAATGGCTTGGAACCTGCCGGGGCCAGGCTGGCACCTCCAGCAAGTCGTGTCCCCCGCGCTCTCATGGGGACTGTGTTCATGGGCTGGAGGGGTGCAGCCGTGTGGTCTCCAGCAGAGCTGTTACTGCAGGCACGGCTGTCCCGTGCCTCTTGCTTGTCCCAAGCAGTCTCATCTCTCCTCTCTGTCTTCCAGGGAACTGCACGGGTTGTGCAGCCACCTTCTCCGTGCTCAAGAAGAGGGTGAGTCTTCAGTTTCTCCTGCCCCTCCTTCAGTTACTGCCTGTGTTGGGACAGACTTTTCGCATGTCCAGCTTGCCCTAGTTTTCTCCTGTGGCTCTTGTGGCTGGGGTGAGGCCGACATCTGCCCCAGCCTGGCAGTGGTGACCTCAGCTGAGTGCTGGGTGTTGTCACCTGCCTGGTGCTGTCAGGGGTGCCTTGGGCTGTGGAGCCTGTGCGTTTTGCACAGGTGGAGCGTGGCCGGTGCGCGAGGCCCTGCGCGGCAGCAGGCTCCTCTGTGCTCTGTGTGTCTGTGTGTGAGCTGCTTCCTGTGCAGCGTCCGTGCACCGGTTAGCCCAGTTCTGGGTCATGGAGCTTTCCAGTGAAAGCAGAGCCTGGGTTTGCTTGTGGGCTCGTGTTGAAGTGGCAACAAACCTCATTATCGTCCCAGTGTGTGTCACAAGAACAGCATAGGTCCCTTGTTTTCTGCTCTGAGCCCTTGGGCATGGTGCTAGCTGCACGTTCCCCTAGTCTGGAGAAGGATGAGTCTTTTTACCCTGTGCAGATGCACGTTGCTTGTCTCACTGCTGCCCCCTTCCTCTCCAGATTCAAGGCTCCCTGCTCTTCCTCCTGGCTCAGTCTGCTACGTGTTTGAGACTTCCTTGAGCCTGTGTCCCTCTGTTATGTTGGGTTCAGTGTAAGAAGCATTGGATGCGGGATCCCGGAGTCTGTGGGACCCGGCTTCCTTAGGCTGGGCACAGGCTTCAGGGATGCAGCTCCAGTGCCAGGCAGTTTGTCCGGGAGTCCTTGGCACAAAATCCCTGCTATTGCCACAGCGGTGGCACCGCTTGGCCCTTGTGCAGGGAGCCCTGGGGCAGGGCGCTGGCGCTCCTCGGGGAGGGCTGGGCAGGCCCGTCAGCTCCCCGGGTGGTCTACAGTGTCTCACCCCTATTTCTGTCCGCAGCGGAGCTGCAGTAACTGCGGGAACAGCTTCTGCTCCAGGTGTTGCTCCTTCAAAGTCCCCAAGGCTGTGATGGGAGCCACAGGTGAGTGGGAGGTGGAGGACAGAGCCTTCTTGCTGTGACCTGTGTTCTCTGCCACCGGGATTTGCTCCCGCCCTGACGGAGCCTGTGGATGGGACCTGCCCCATGTAGCCTGGCCCGGGGCAAAGCAGCGGTGGCTGCTGCTGGAGCAGCTCTGTGCCCTTGCTGGGTGATGTGTGGGGAAGAGGGGCTGGTCTCTGACAGCTGCTTTTCTTTCCAGCCCCTGAAGCTCAGCGAGAGACAGTTTTCGTGTGCGCTCTGTGCAACCAGGTGCTCATCAAGTGACGGGAACAGTCCTGGCCAGCGTGTGGGCCCTGTCCTGCCTGGCGGGGTCCCGTACTGCCTCGTGGGCAGTGGCAGCGCTGCCCTCATCGCTGGAGGCCTCGGTCCCTTGGTTGCCAGCGTGGTATCCCTGCCAGAGGACACTTGCACTTGTTGCTGCCTCTGCCAGCATTGCTGGGGTGGCCGGAGCAGCTCTCCTTGCTGCGCAGCGCTGGCCGCAGCGGCAGGTCGAGGCGGAGCGTGGCCTGCAGCCCTGCGCCCGCCAGGCCCTGCGCCCAGCTCGGCGGCCCTCCCGCTCCTACCTCCGTCTCCTGCATGGGAGCAGAGCAACCTCAGGGCTCTGTCCCTACCCTTCTGAGCACTGTGCAGGGTGACTGTTTTTTTGGGATCAAGTCGGAGCTCTGCGTCCCCAAGAGACGTGGTCCTCGGTCCTGGCTCGCCTGAGCTCTGCCAGCTCCAGCCCCTCCTGTGCTCCTCAGCCTCCTGTATCCAGGTTTAGTCTTTCCTCCCTACGCTTCTTGGCTGTAGCAGGGACTCGGAGCTCGGCGACGTAGTTGGGTCGCTGTAGCAGGAGAGGTGCGAGCTGGGCTGCTCTGTGCACTTAGTGACTGCTGCTTTCTACTACAGATTAATATATAAATGTATATAAAGAACAACCCTTAACTCTCCTGTCATCACTTAACTCTTGTCTTTCCCCGGTGAAAGCTGCCCCCTTTCCCGAGTGCCCTGGCACCTCTGTGTCCGTGACTCAGGGGAGATGGTACCCAAGGAGCAGGGCTGCGGGACTGGTGCTCTCCGGATGGCAGCACCCTTCATGCTGGCGTCCTCCCTTAAGGCTAGTTCTCTTCCCTCACTCTGGGGACTGTTTAGTGGCTGCCTCCACCCCAGGGGTGACCCTTCCAGCAGGCTGAGGCTGCGGGGCCCGTCCCCTCGGCTGCGTGTGAGGGCAGCGAAGGGCTGTGGCTCCAGGCATGGTGCTGGGGAAGACGATGGCCCTGGGTGCAGGTAGGGTGCGGGAAAGCAGCGTCTCTGCCCCCCTCTCAAGTCACTGCTGTTTTTGTCTGGAGCTGCCTCTCTGCCCTGGGCAGGGGGCTGTGTGGAGCTGCCTGTCCTTGGCATGAGGATGGCCGGCTTTGCCCTGCATCTCCCCGGGGCTGCTCCTTCCCGTGCCCGGCCCCGGCGGCGGCCCCGGCAGCTGCCCGCGCTCACAAGGGTGACCTTTCGCTGCGCCGACAGCAAAGCTCCCAGCTATCCCTGGAATGTGACCCTGGCTGCTGCCACCTGGGAACGGCCCCAGCGGCGCCGCCAGCTGCTGCCCCGGCCCGGCGGGGGGGGCGGGGGCCTCCCGCCTCCGGCTGCCGGGCGGTGCCCTGGGCCTCGGCAGCCCCCGGCTGCGGGGAGGGGAGGTCCTGGTGCGCTGCGAGCCCCGGGGGCTCTGCGGGGCAGCCCGGGCCCTGCGTGCTCCTCCTGGTCCAGCCACGGTGCTGGGAGTCCCTGCACTCTGCAGGAAACACCTGGGCCTGTGAATGGGGTGTCTGTGCGTGTGCCATCGCCTCGGGAAGCTGCCCGTGACGCACGGCGGGAAGGGAGGCAGATGGACTTGAGCTGGGCGCTGAGGTCCCCATCTGCGGGAGCTTCGTGCCGGGGTGATACGAGTGACGGGGCTGCGTGCCCCTGCGCCCGAGCACTGCTCTGTGCACTTAGTGACTGCTGCTTGCTTCCCAAGGGGGTCGTGGGGAAAGGCTGTCCCGTGTGTTCGGCTGGAGGGGCTGCCAGTGCCCTTTCGGGCCCTCCAGCCTGTGCAGGTGCCCCGCGGCTGGCAGCGTGCGGGGTGGCCCCACAGGAGGGCTGGCAGCGTGCGAGGTGGCTCCCGTGCTGCCCCCTCGTCTCCTCCGCCAGCGCCAGCTCCTCTGAGAGGCGGCAGTGTGCGGCGGCCAGGCCTGGGTAAATATCCCGGCAGCTGCCTGGATCACCCGGCGGGATGTGCCGTGACGCAGCCGGCTCAAGAATGCGCTGGGTAAACAGGGCCGCACGGGGCAGGCAGCGGGGACGGCTCCTGAGGCGCGATGGTGGAGGTGACCCCGGGCGCCCGCGGGGAGCTCTGTGGGCTGCCCCTGCCCCAGGTTCTCTGGTGGGGCGAATGAAGGAGGGGTGATGCCCCAGCTCCAAGGTCAGCACTGCCAGGTGCCAAATTCCAGCCTGAGTCCATCCTGGGACATCGTCGGAAGCTGCTGCTCTTGCAAAGCACCTGCAGCCCCAGCTGAGGGGGTCCAGCAGCTGGGCCAGCCCCTTCCCTTGCCGCCATCTCTCCATCCCGGCCACCTGAGGTGGCCCAGGAGTTTCAGGGAAGCTCTTCCTCTTGCAAAGAGGTGCTGGGTGCCCCCGAAGGCCCCGCGCTGCCTGTCGCTGCTGCCACCCTTGTTGCGCAGCCCGGCCACAGGCCCTGGGCACAGCGCTGGGAGCGGGATCGGGGCGGGCGCTGCAGCTCGCTGGGCTCCTGCCGCTCAGTCCCCCTCCTTGGGGCCCCCCTCCACCCTTCCCAGCCCCAGGCAGGGCGCTTGGAGGCGCGTTGGACCAAGAACCACAGGGAGATGGACATGGGTCTTCTCCGAGGCAGAATAATTTACTGCAGCGCGTGGTGCTGGGTGCCTGGCGGGGGCACTGCCAGGGGATGGGGGCACCGTGGGGCTGCCCTGGAGGGGTTTGGGGTGACCCTGCCTTGCGGTGGCCTGTGCGAGCCGTGCAGGGCAGGAGAGAGCGGAGCGTGAGCCTGGCCGGGGCCGGCGGGTTCCGTGGGGCTGTGCTCTGTGCTGCCCACAGCGGGGCAGCCCCACAGCACAGGGGGGCCAGAGCTGTCCCCAGCCAGGGGCCCTGGGGTGCTGCTGCTCCCCATGGTTGGTTTCGGGCACAGTGTTGGTAGCGGTGGTGGTTGATGGTGGGCACAGTGGGGCAGGAGGGACCTGTCCTGACTGGAGCTGTCCCTGTGAAGATGGGAGGATCCAGATGAACTCTGCTTGCGGGGGAGAGGGGTGTGGGTATGGCTCAGGAGGCTGGAGAGGGAATTTGGGAAGGATGGGGGCTTGGAGCAGATCCAGAGCTGTTGGGCAGGTGCAGCATTGGCAAGTGAGGTTCTCCAGCACAGAGTTGGCCTCACACAGGATCAGGGATATGGCTGGAGCGTTCTGGGGGCAGCGCAAGCTCCTGGTGATGGGCAAAGGTCCCAAGGGTGCAGAGCAGGGCTCCAGGTGCAGGTCTAGGCTCCCACAAATGCAGCTGGGAATCCCAGGGATGAAGAGCAGGGGCCCCAGGGGTGCAGCCAGGGATCCGGGGTGCAGCCGAGGGTCCCGGGGCGCAGAGCAGGGTCAGAGCTCTGGCCCCATCGGTGCGGGCAGGAGTCCTGGGACAGGGCAGGCAGGCAGGGCCCTAGCGCTGCCCGGCCCCATAGAGCAGAGGGTGGTACAGGGGGCAGGGGTAGGAGAACATGAACTTGACAGCAAACTTCATCTCCTTGTTGTGCTTCTGCCAGGGGTAGATGGCGGGGAGGAGCAGGCGACCGCCTGCCTTGCGGCCCATCACCAGGAAGCTGCCGCTGAGGCTGTCGAGCTGCGGGCAGGGGCAGGCGCCCGCGTTCCTCATGTGCAGCACCATCTTCTTGGTGTCCTTGCGCTTGAGCGGGCCCAGCTTCAGCACCTTCTTCTTCTGGGCGGCCACGAGGCGCCGCTCCCCGTTCTCCTCCGTCATCTCCTTGATGCGCATCTTCACCACTGCGGGACAGGCAGGGGCACTGCTGGGGGGACGTGGGGCACTGACAGGGCACTGAGGGGTCAGTGCCCGGGGCCACTGCAGGACAGGGCGCGATCAGCTCCCTGAGGGAAGGTGCGGAGGGGAAGAGGCTGCTGCGAGGGCAGAGGAGGTCCCTGTGAGCCTCCCACATTTCTCTGGCCATCTCTCCCCATCCGGGCCGCTCTGGGGGCTGGTGGGGCCATGGGGAGCCCCCTCGTGCTGGGGGCTGGACAGGGGATGCTGGCACTCACCGAAGTCACTGGAGCACATCTGCTCCATCATGCCATCCGCCTTGTGCTCCATCTCGCACTGGGTGCAGATCTTGGACACTGCAGGGAGACACGAGCCAGCATCGTGGCCACTCTGCTGCTGAGGGCCAGCTCCGGGGCCAGCTCCTCAGGGACCCCAGGGACGGAGGGGAGCTCCCTCAGCCAGGGAGCTGTGCCCAGGGCATGCGGAGCACTTAGCAGGGTGGCATCCCCATACCTGCCCATGGCTGACTGCCAAACCAGGGGGTGAGCAGCAGAAGGAGCAAAGGTTGCACAGGGGTGAAGGTGCCCCCCGCGCCTGCTGCCGCCAGCCCTGAGCTGTTATAGGGCAAGGTGTCCCTTAGGGTGATGCGTCCCTTAGGGTGATGCATCCGAAGGCCCACACAGGAATGGGGGCAGCGCAGGTGCAGCGCTGGGGCCCATGTGCTCTCCTTGCTGCCGGGACCGTCCCCGCCGTGCTCTGCTCTCCCCCCGTCCCCCGGCCGCCCCTGCAGCAGTGCAGGGGCTCGCCGGGCGCGTTACCTGGCGGGGGGG